CGAATATAGATTGTTAAAACATTTGTTAGGGGTGGGGGACCTATACCTAAGGATCTCATGTACGTACTATTATTTGTTGTTTTATGAATATTAGCAGCTGGATGCATATTGTATTAATTTTTTTGAAATAATAATATTGTGGGCAACTTGAAGGTTACAAAGCTCAAGTCCTTGTCATCAAATGGGCAATAATTTTTCATGTTTTTAATAATAAAATTAATAATGATAATAACAACAACAATTTTGGACTTATTGTATTTATTTTTTTTAAAGGAAAAAAAACCCCACCACCAAGACAATAAATTTTGTCCTTATATTACTTGACAGCATCTTATTTTACTTTATATTATTTTGACTGTTTGAATTCAATTCATATAATATTAAAGCTCATGTATCTATTTTTATTTTTTTTAAATAGACGTTTCAAAAAGCTTTATATGGGAGAATAAATATATTTTCTAATAAAAACGATTTCATATTTAGGGTTCGAACCGAAGATTACACTACTTTTCTTATTAGTGATTATGTTTTCTTCTTTATTTTCTTCTTTTTTTACTTAGGTTCGATGCAATCAATAGCCTTTCGTAAACACCTTTCTAACTCCTTGAGTTAGTGGTAAGATCTGCGTACACTCCACTCTCTCCATATCCCACTTAGTGAAATTTCATTAAATATGTTATTGTTGAGCTCAAGATTTAAAGTTAAAAATCAGTGAATAGTTCTTACTATTCTATTACAACCTTTGTTGATTGATGCATTTTTAAAAGATAAAAATAAAATACACTCAATATTCAACACTTGTATTCCAATTCAACACTGCCTTACGTTAAAGGTAAAAGCGTTCCTTAAAAAAATAATTTTGTACTCAAAATTCGAACTTAAAATATTCGATAAGAACAACTAATTCAAACTTTGTTGGCTGTCTCTCATCTACCAATGATGCTATTCCTTGACTTCTACTCCATTTTTTTAACCAATGGAACTTAGGACTTTATGATGAATTGGCTAAGAATAAAAAGACTAAAATTAATCGACCATAACAAATAACTTTAATAACATACTTTTTGTGTTTAAATTTGATGGAATTCCATAACATACAACTTTAGTGAAGTAATGTAAATAAAATGATTCAACAAATAAAATCATATTTTATTTTAAAGTCTAACTAAATTAAATTCGTAATAGAAATTTCACTTTAAAAGATAAAAATCATTTTCAATAAAAAATGATTTCATGATGCTCAAGCGCAAAATCTAAGATTTTTGATATTCATTAACGTTCAGAACACTTACATAATTAACTCTTTTAATTCTTCTTTTATTGATCTATCAAACATTAGTTTTATTTATCTAACATTTTATATTTGATTACAACAATAATCAAGTATATCGGTATTAACTAAACATTATAATTTATGAATCGGGTGATAACATATGTAATGATTTCACACCTTCAAAATATCAAAATATACGTTAATATATATTGTCCCTCATCTTGTTGCTTCTCAATTTACAAAGTAAAAAATAAAATGACTCACAAATAAATAAAGTAACATGGTTCAATTTCTCAGCAAAATATATTTCAAGAGCTTAAAATTTAAGTAGTATTTATCATGACTAATTTTTCTTACAAAAGACGAACCTTGATATGTGATAATTTTTTTAAGATAAAAGAGAAGAGTTATCACGTAACAAAATATGATGCGTTAGAGCAGCATATTAGTATTTACATCACAGCCACTACTTCTCCCAAATTAAAGATTATTGTTGAATGTAAAGTTGAAATAATAGTCCAACCAAAGCCATTTCAACCCAAATTTGATCATAGGGAGAAGAGAGTAAAGAAAATACTAGCTAATTGGATTGTCAGCGGGGTAATTATCTGTTTTTTACTTATTTTGTGTTACTGTATATAAAATATTGATGATTTTTTGTGTTTCTATTTATTTAAGATTTGTAATTTTTGTTATATAAAGGTTTCGGTTGACATATGGAATTAGAATTTGATCCAGAAAAAAAAATTGTCTTTTGAAAAACGAATGGCGGATATGAACGTTGAACTCAAAAAAAGTATGAAGAATAGCCGATAGGCTGAAGTACATATTGCTCAGTTGGAAAGGAACGGTTAAGAAATACCAGGAAATGCTTATTGCTAACCTCGAAAAAGTTTTGAAGAAAAAAATGAAGAAATAGAACCAAATTGCTAAGTTTCAGAAAGAGGGCTTGACTCAAACAAAACGGGCAATGAATCCCAACGATACGGCCTAGTTAAGACATATTGACAGACGATTTCACTTATTAATTAAAAACGAGTCATGATAAAGGAAAATCGCAAAATGAATCTTTAATTAAGTTGTACAAAACTTTATATAATTACAAAGAAGTTACACATGTACGCTTTACAACTTGAAAGAAGTGCAACAACTTTAAACTACATTAAAACCTCACTAAATTAATACTCGACAAATTAATAATCTCTTTAAGATAATATTTTCTTTTAGGTTTCAACTTGGGCTAATGGAAAAAATCACCCAGATAAGATAATAAAATAATATATTTTCAAAAGTCCCATGCATAAATATATGGTTCCATTAATATTATAAATTAATAATTCTTTAAAAGTACAAATATATCTAAAACAATATAGTGAAATATGAGTCTATTGTGTGTTTTTTTGTTAAAATTTAAATTTAGTTGAAGCTCATCTCTAACTTTTCTTGTTGCATCCAAAAGTTCTGGTATTGTCTTTTCTAACTGTTCCATAAAATTGTAAAGAGTTCTAGATGCGATAAGTGTTTCCTTACATGTAATTGGTTCCAAAGGTATTGTATTATCTTCAACTTCATTACACTACACCAAAAATGATCTTTAGCGGCAACTAATTAACGACAATGGCTTAATTGCTGCTAAATATGTACTTTTAGCTGCAATTAACACTCTTTATAAATGTTTCTCCTATAATGACATTAGATCCCATGACAAATAACTAATGTCGGTAAAGACTTTAACACTCTTTGTTAATGCATATACTTATTGTCGCTAAAAGATTAAAGATGTTTTTGTTGTAGTGTCATCAACATTGATGTATTCATTATAAATTTACTTTTATGTGAATTCAATAAAATATGATACGTAAATTAGTAAGATACAATGATTTTTATGTAATCAAAATTAACCGTTGAATCACAAAATACTCTTTAAATTAATTAATATTAATTTATCGATAAGATAATACCTCTACAAAATAATAATATTTTATAGTCCCACCTATATTAATTTAGTGAGGTTTTACTGTATATACATTTTAGCTATCCAAACAAACAAAGTAAAGAAAGAAAAAAATCACGATCACACAATAAATATGATCACACCAAATTGAATTATTTTTAAGATATGTAAAGGGATATATCCGACCGATTCTTACTAAAGGGATCACCCATGCCATATAAATAATATTTCATAATCAAATGGTCTCTCTCATATTAATTATTCGCAAGTATAAACTATCATTTATAACTATCCAATTACTAAGTTAACTTTAATTTATTACTCCTAAATACATCCTAAAAGAAGATGAAAAGTTATGTAAAATTCCATGAGTTTCTCTTAATGTATTCCACTATATTTATTTAGTTAAGAACTTAAAATATATTGCTATCTATCTTTTAACTCAAAGTTCATTTCAAAATATTTCTGTTCTTTCTAATTTTTGGTTTTTGAGTACATGCAAATATCATAAATTCGTAATCAATAAGAATGTGTCATTATGGTTCAATCTTTCAAGATACACCACTTTATGCGATATATATCGACAAGATACACCACTTTACGTGATGTGTATCGGTCGGATACATCATTTTACGTGATGTATTGAGACGTACGCAATGTATTGGGATGTTGAGTGATGTATCCGAAACCGTGACGCGGTGTATTGGGGCATTAAGGAATGTATCCAAAATCGGGACGCGATGTATCAGGACGTTTTGGGATGTATCCGGATTCCACTAAATTTAAGAATTTTTTGTAATTTAAAAAAGAATAAGAATATGATGTAATTAGCTCTTAACACTATGAGATTTGTGTAAAATCCCCTTTTTATTTCTATGAACTATCTACCTGGGCTTCCAAATTGTTGTCATTTTTCTATGAACCATCCATCAACTTCCAAATGAATTTTTGTTGCATGTAGGAAAAAGTTTAGAGCTAAAAGCTTTTCCTTTCAAAATTGGCTTAGATGCCTTTACGGGTGTTGAATGGGTGGATCAGATTAAATTTGAATGAAGTTAAATGAAGCAAATTATTGAGTCAAGCTTCGATTCATTTAAAATTTGTTTAGGTCAAAATGGATTAGAACAACAGATAACTCAACTTATCGACAACCTCTATAGGTAATAATACAATCAAAACAACAAACTAAACCTACAAAAAAAATGAAAATTTATTTTCAAGCTTTGGTATTGGTACACGAAGATTAGAAAAATTGAACCAATTAAACCATAGGATGGTTTAGTCAAAGGCAACACATGTTTGAAAAGAATTAGGAAACTTGTTAAGTTAAATGGAAAAAGAAAAGAAAATGACGAGGGATTCAAGCAATATTTACTAGTCCTTTGAAATAAAATAAGATAAAATAACCCATTGAAATAGAGAGAGAGAAAAAAAATAGCCCAAACTAACTCGTCATATACCCGTTAATCAATGTGAACAAATTATCTCAAGTCAATTCGTTTTTTTATGAAGTATTTTTTCAGATTTCGATGGAATTTTTTGGTGTTTAGGTTTAATATTTCTTATGATTAAATTCAACTATAAGAGTTCAATAAATATATAACAGAGACTAAAAACATTCACATTAAACAAATTTAAAAGGACTAAAACTGTTCAAAAATAATACTTTAGGGACTACTTTTGAACCTACTACCAAAAGTAAGGAAGAGATCATTTATGTCATTTTCTCAATATCTCTGTTAGGTGTTTCACATGTCCACCAAAAAAAAAAAAAAAAAAAGAGAAATGAAGGAAGAGTTAAGAGTAAACACGAAGTGAAAAATTGGTAATTTTAAACAACTCCAAGATTTAGCAATCAGGTTTGAAAAGTTTTGATTTTTTCAGTTTATTCACTTTTTCATATAGATATGCAAATTTTACAGAATTCTTGATTTTCCCTTTTTTCTGCTATGCTTAATTGCTTGTGAGAAGTCAGCTCTGATAGAGTTTCTATATAATCAAAATGTCTGTAGAAAGTGTTAATCTCATATGGGATTTTGCTAATTTCATTTCGAATGGTGAAGTTGAAGTAAAAAAAAAATGATTTTGAGCAAATTTACATAAATCTTGGCTTGTTTTCATTTTGAATAGCAAAGTTTGGATTTTGAGCTATGTCCCCCTCCCCCCTCCTAGTGCCGGAACCAGTATTTTCACTAAGGAGGTTCAAAATACGAAGAAGTTCGAAGGATTCAGTCTACTCTATATATATATGATATATATTAAAAATATTTTACTTTGTATATACAATGTAATTTTTCACTGAAGGGAGTTTGGATGAACCCCTCGTCCCTACCCAGCTCCGCTCCTACCCCTACCCCTCATTATTGCTAATTCACAGAATTCTTGGTTTTCCCTTTGTCTACTTTGTTCAGTTTCTTGTAAAAACATCAGCTTTAATGGAATTTATACGCCCAATACAGTCTCTGGTTCATGATATACTTGTTGTAATATGTTGAGCTAAAGATGATATTTTTCTGCCTTCTAAAAAATTTTTGGATGTTAGACAATATTTGGTTTTTCATTTAAAAGAGTTGAGCTAAATATTTTGAACTTTGAGCTATATTATCCCTTCATGATTGCATATTCACATTAGTCTTGGTTTATTCCTTGTTGGTTTTGCTCAATTGCTTGAAAAAACATCAGCTTTAATGGAACTTATATCCCTAAGACAATCTCTATATAGTGAAAGGCGTGGCAAGAGAGCGAGTTCGACTCGCGAGAGGAAAAGTTTTCAGATGAGATGGACCACTAGTATCTCTGCTGAATTATGTTAAGCTAAAGATGGTATTTTTCACACTTCATAGAAAAGTTTGCTATTAAACAAAATTTCCTTCTCTTTTAGAATAGCAGAGTTCAGCTTAGACTTTTCGATTTTGAGCTATATAGCCCTTTCAACAACAACAACATACCCAGTGTAATCCCATATATGGGGTCTAGGGAGAGTAGAGTGTATACAAACCTTACCCCTACCTCGTGGAGGTAGAGGCTGTTTCCGGAAGACCCTCGGCTCAAGTAACGCATATCAAAGCTAGGAGAAAAGAAACATACAAAATCAAAGAGGACATAGTAAATCATAAGGAAAACATTGCATAGCATAGCAACAACCAAATAACTCGATAACCGAAGCACAAGAAACAACATGTAGTAACATGAATCGGAGGACCGGGAACTAGGAGAATAATGCTACTACTATTGGTAAAGAATGAGAAACATGTATATTGCCCCGTTGTGATTGCAAATTCACATAAACCTTGGCTTCCCATTTATCTGCTTTGTTCAATAGCTTGTAACATCAGCTTGGATGGAACTTATACACCCAATAAAATCTCTGTATATTAATATCTCTACTATTTTGTTGAGCCGAAGGTGGCAGTTTCTGCCTTCTAAAGAGAATTTGCATGTTAGACGTGTTGGGTTTCATTTAGAATAGCAAACTTGAGCTAATTTTCTTGAATTAACTCCTCCTAAGAATTGCCAAATAGTGGTGTAGGATAGCAGTAGGTTGATGGCTAGTCAAAAACAGTCTTAACAATTATGAATCTCTAGTATACTCTATTAAGAAGAACGAGTACGGACGATCCATAGAGCTGATCTGACTAGTTTGGGATTGAGGTGTTGTTGATTAATTTGTTGAAGCTCCTCTGAAGCATTTGTCATGGCTTCTTCATTTTATTTCCTTTTCTGTATTGCTTTGGACTATTTTTTTCCTTGAGCTGAGGGTCTATCAAAAATAACATCTCTACTTCAAGGTAGGGGTAAGGTGTGTGTACACTCTACCCTCCCCAGAACCAACTTTGTGGGATTACACCGCGTATGTTGTTGTTGGTCCTCTGTAGTGTGGTTTTTATGGTTTCTAAATAAAACAACATCATTTCCCATATACACTGGTCTTGATTAATGTATTCTGTGTGTTTCCACCATTTTTGGCAGGTTTGGCATGGTAGGAACTTGATTATGGATGATATGGTACTTCAAAGCGTCTCTCAGACAATCACCCCGTACTGTCTTACATGTGAAAATGTATTTTGATTTCTTACATTCAGAGTCCATTGAAGACATGGGGTATTCTCTAAGTAGGTTAGAAGTAGAGACCGGACACTTTGATGGTTCAAGTTCCAATCACGGGGTTGCTAGCAGTGTTCATCACGACAGACCAGCAAATTATTTGGACCATGAAATTTCTCAACTTACTAAGCTTAGATCAGGGCCCCATGAAAATCTCAGTAGAATCCTACCCGGGAAAAAGGAAGTTCCTGTGTCCACATTCAAGATGTTAGCTGCTCGAGAAGCCAATATTTCCGGTAGAGGAAGGTTTTCGAAGGCAGATTGTTGTCATGTTCTAAGTAAATATTTGCCGGTTAGTGGTCCTTGGATTGTGGACCAGATGGAAACCAGGGCTTATGTATCACACTTTTCAGCAGATGGTTCCCTTTTTGTTGCTGCCTTTCAGGTACTAGCAGTAGTTTATATTGTATTTTTGTAGCATTGAGAAGATTAGGCATTGACATGTGTCAGTATTACATTTTTGTCTTTTAAGATTTCCATATCTAAGTCAGCTTCAAGCAAAAAAAACACACTAGGTGATTTATTCCCATCTGTCCTAGCCTTGCCTTGGTGGACAGTATTACTTGGTCTCTGTTGCTAATGGGAGGTGCCAGGTATCCCGTGGAATTAGTCGAGGTGCGCTAAAGCTGGCCCAAAACATCACAGTCATAAAAAAAACTTTTCCATATCGAATCAGAAGCCTGTTTTTTTTAATATGAAATCCCAAAGTTCTCTAAAGACTACACTCTTAACAATGCATTAGACAGATTTGAGTTGTGTTGCATTCTGATGCTTCTTCTTGTCTAAAACAGGGAAGCCATATTAGAATATACAATGTGGAAAGAGGGTGGAAAGTTCACAAGAATATTCATGCAGAAAGTTTGAGATGGACAGTTACTGATACATCTCTTTCTCCGGATCAACGTCATTTGGTGAGTTTCTATTGTACAGACGAATCAAGTTTGCAACTGCTAAATTTTGCTTTGTTTTTTGTTTCAGGCTTCAGTTTTTCTCTTTTCATAGGAGGCATAGTGCAGATAAACACATTTTCTTTTCTTTTTTTACTTTTTATGACGGTGGTGTTTAGGCGAGCTTGCTCACCTCGACTATTCTACCCAATACTTGGTACCTCACACCAAGTCCAACACAGGTATCAGGTAACTTTGCCCAGTGCCCACCAAGGTTTATGCTGGTTGGAAGGCCTCGTGGGAAGGCCTCCACTGGGAGTTGACCTTGAGACCTCTTGGTTATCCTCCTGCTTCTTTGACCACTGGGACACACCTGGGTACGCTAAGCATATTGTCTTTATGCATGTATGATTTTTCATTTTGTATATAGATGGCAATGGGGCGGGACGGGACGGGGTGGTTGCGGTGCAGGTTTGGTCTAAATCTTTTAAGACTTAACCCGCCGCGCTTTGCGTAGCAGTTTTTAAAATATTTTTAACTAGCCCCGTCCTGCCCTGCCCCCCATAGCAAAAACTTTCCTTTTTCTTTTTCATTCTATCATTTAACCTAAACTAACCTGCTCAATGTTTTAGTTTTCCAAAAATGGAGAGTTTAATAATCATTAATTACTCAAAAAGTTTAACTAAATCTTTTCTAAATCAAATTTCAATAATTTAAGTAGTTTAATTTTTTTTTTTTTTAATAGTTCTTACTCATGAGCCACCTTATAATCTAGGATACTTCTAACTCCATGTGTTTGAGAAATCATTGGAAATATGTTTGTGCTATTAAATCCTCTCCTCTGTGACATACTCTCTGTCTCTCTCTTCCTGATCCCAATTTAGTTTTACTATGCTAGACTTACTTGGAAGATCAACAATAATGACTTTGAATAGAGACATAATTTTTGAAGGTTGTTAGAGACATGATAAATAATGGATGATATTTGTAAATTGGGATGGTCTATAATGTAACATGAAGGACAAAGCAATATAATGGTATATATTCCTCTATTGGATTGAAATTGAAGACATGTCTCTTCGTTAAGAAAATTGGTGAAAATTGGGTAGACCAAAAGAACCTAGGGAAATGTCTAATGTAGTTGGTTGACTGTTGAGAACTGTAAAGATATGGTACCTGAGCCTAACTCAACCCCAAACTAGCTCATGAGGAGAGGATTTTCCAAGTCCATATAAGGAGACCATCAGTCTATTCCCCAACCAATATGGGACTTTTACCCACTCTAACAAGAACCATAAGGTTTCGGGTTCAAATCCTAGCGGAGGCAAAACTATTAGGTGATTTCTTCCTATCCAAGTCAGGTACTTATGGTGGTGGGAGGTAGGCAGGTTGCAGGTATCTCAAACACCACAGTTATTAAAAAAATTGGGTGACCAAAAGGGAAAGTAGTTGAACTAAAATTGCGACAATGAGGACACTTGACAAGCTATTATTAATTAGGGAGATGAAATCAAATTAATTAGGTAGGTGTAACGAAATTAATTCCATTCTACACAGTTATTTGCAAGGGATTGTTTGGATATAGAATGTTATCCTACTTATCAAAACATTAGCTGTCATTACTACGAGCATTTCATGTTACATATATATTCAGTCATGTGTGTTCTGTTTCTCCATTTGTGACATTTGAAGGGTTTAGTTAAAATATGTTCAAGAATGACTTTGAAAAGAGGCATGTGGTTCAAATCCCAGCAGAGACGAAAACACTAGGGGATCTCATCCAATCTGTTCAAGCCTTGCCCGATACTTGTGCTGGTGGCAGGTAGTAGTTACCCCGTGGAATTAGTTGAGTTGCACGAAAGTTGGCCCGAACACCATAATTATCAAAAAGATAAAAAAAGAGGCATGTGTTTTGTTCAAAACTGCTGTGGTCTAAAATTCTTTCAGATTTCTTTTTCTCTTGAAAATTTTATTATACTGGGGGATTCGGAAAGGGGGATACTGAGAATTGAACGGACACCTATTTTGTGGTGACTCCCACTGATATCACGAGACCATAAGCATTGGTGGTTAAGTTCTTTCAGAGTTTGTACAGCTATTTTTGGTGTCTTTCACAAAAGGTAAAAACAAATTATCTTTGTTGTTGAAGGAGCTTCATCACTGTTGTTATCTCAATCTGTTCTGGTGTTGCTAATTCTGCTATACATTTAGAATATAAGGCTATTGGAAATTGAGAGAATTACATGAAATTCAAGGAACTCCAAAGTGAAACCAGCTTTAGAGAATCTTAAGTTGCACATTAGATCGAAAGGTAGACCGGGACCACTGCAACTTAAGCTGATAGCAAATGGACATTGACCACTGACCAGTAACTTCTGACTAATAGAATCTAAGCTAAGATATTACTTCAACTAATAGAATCTAAATTAAGATATTACTTCTAGATTTGCATTACTAGGTGAGATAGGATTGAGAACGAAGATATTGGGCACAAGGTGGGAGAGGGTCTCTGTGGTGGGCAATGTGAGGGAAGTGAGACTGAAATATTCGGGCATGTGAAGACGAGATATCCAGATGCCCAAGTGCGGAGATGTGAGAGGTTGACTATGGTGGGTCTGAGTAGAGGTAGAGCCTAGAGGTAGGACGGCGTAGTATTTGGGAGAGGTGATTAGACAGGATCTGAAACACCTGCAGCTTACCGAGGACATGACCCTAGATAGGAGGATATGGAAGTCGAGGATCAGGGTAGAAGGTTAGTAGGTAGTTGCGCTGTCTAGTTTCCCTTATCAGTGATATTAGTATTTTTTTCCTCCTCCTGCTTTCTTCTACTTCTTATTATTGCCAGTTGTTTCCTTTACTTCGGCTATCATATTATTTATTGATGCTACTGGTATTCTCTACTGTATTCTTTTTTCATTCTTGTTTATTATGCTTTACTTGAGCTGATGATCTATTGGAAACAACCTCCCTACCCTCATTAGGTAGGGGTAAGGTTGCGTACACACCACCCTCCTCAGACCCCACTTGTGGGATTTTATTGGGTATGTTGTTATTGTAGAATGATAAATTTACACTTTATCACAGAGTATATTTATATTTGTGTTGTAGAGTAACACTTGTGTTGCTTTTGCAGGTGTATGCTACCATGTCACATATCGTACATATTGTAGACGTAGGATCTGCTGCCACTGAATCTGTAGCCAACATCACAGTACGGCGGTCAATCTCTCTTTCTTTAGAGTTCTTATTACTCATATGCATAACAGCTTCATGGGATGGGACTGCAATATCTAGCAGTTATCACTTAGAAGTATCATTTCTAAGCCCTTTTAGGCCTAGGAACAGATATTCAGTTCTGTTCGTCTTGTGGATAATTATAACTCCAGCAAGGCAGCAGTAGTTGCACATCTCTGTGTTAAAGGTTTCAATTATTTAAAGAATGAGTCGTTTAATACTTGAGGCGCAATTTAACCAAGTTTTGTATTTGATTTTGATATGATGCTCTTTTTTTTTTTTGGATACACATCTCTCTTTATGAACTATTAAAAAAACTGGACTTAACTCTGAAAGCAGTAACTAAGTCAAGTATGAAAGAATATCGTTTTCCTTTTCTGGAAATGGATTCCGAACAAGTTACTTATTTCAGAGAGTTTGACTTGTTATAAGGTGTTGTTTGTACATTAAAGCTGTTTGATATGAAGTTTTGTGTGGGTAATCTATCTTTTGATAAAAATTAATGCATTGAGTATTTTTCCTATGGCATTGGTTCACAAATGACAGTTCCCCAAAGCTGTGGGATTTAGATGAATTCAGATGTACCTTACTTGATATCTTAGATCCTGTAAGTTAAGGAGCTTGCTGGAGTTTTGATTGCATTATTATATGCTACTACCATTAATATTTGGCTTAAAAGATTAGGTCCAAAAAGGATTATTAGAAATTTGATAGGAGTAACATATGCAACTACCAAGATTGCGGTCTGGGCTATATATTAGTCTGTTATAGTGACAACTTAATACTAACTCACTGTCATCTTTTTGTTTTTATGAAAACTTAATGTTGGCTCACTTAAATGCAGGAAATTCATGATGGTTTGCTTTTGTCTGCTGACAATGATGATTTTGGAATCTTCTCTGTGAAATTTTCTACTGAAGGTCGGGAAGTTGTTGCTGGAAGTAGTGATGATGCGATCTATGTTTATGATCTTGAAGCAAACAAACCCTCCCTTCGAATAGCCGCACACAATGTATGAATATACTTATAATAGATGTGTGTCACAAATCTCTTTCTTGTGAAGCATTTTTTAAAAAAAAAATCTGTTTGCTACATCCAGTACATCTGTTTGACAATTATGAAGCTAATAATTATTCTTCTTGGGCTTGTTTTAGTAGTCATATTTAAAGACGTGCTCTTTTCTTGGCAAGACAATAACTTTTTGTTATTCAAAAACATGTTCACCAAGACAAGGAGGTTTCACCTCCTCTTCCTTCATGATCTGGTGATGATTCTGATGAAGTCATCATTCTCATCGAGTCCTAGTAAATACGTGTTTGCTTTGAAGTAAATTATTCTGAGCGCTCTGCTGTAAGAAGCGGTGTGGCTGAACTAGCTTTTCCTGAAGTTCCTCACTAAAGTCATCACTAAGTAGATTTGATCATTAAATTTCTCAATAGCCTATTCAGTGAGTGAATTGCTTGACACCATTTAATCATTTCTAGTACAATATATCTGCATGAAAAATCTGAATTGTAAATTTCAGTACATCTGTGTCTAGATATACCGGGCAAGTATTCTCCAATTTAATACACCAGTTGAGGAATTCTCATATATTTGCTTTTTGTGGATACACAAGATTTCAATTTGTCTCTATAACTTTCTGTTGATGAGCTGAAATAATTTTCTGTTGCAGTCTGATGTCAATTCTGTATGTTTTGCTGACGAAAGTGGCCATCTCATTTATTCTGGAAGTGATGACAATCTGTGTAAGGTGATCATCATCCTATCTTACTTTGGAAGAAATGCTTAAGAATCAAGGTCTCCTTCTGAAAGATGCTAATAGAAGATACTTGTTGAATTAATGATAAAATGACAAAACAGAGGGATAGTATTGGACTATGAACCTATGGGAAGAGTCATTATGCATACTTCCTTTTGATACCATATCTATGTACATTAGAAAATATTTGCACTTTCTCTCTTTTGTTGGGGACGGAAGAGCTAGGTTGGGGGGTTGTGGAGTAATCATTGAGGCTCTGAGTGATTTGAGGCCGAGGAACTGATGCTAAATCTTCTAATATTCTGCTGGGTGGTATCTTGATTCATTTTGTGTAACCTGTTTAGCTTACTGAGGACATGACCTTAGATATGAAGGTTTGGAGGTCGATGATTACGGTAGAAGGGTGGTAGGTAGCGGAAAGTTGTCGTACTTTTACGTAGGAGAGGCAGGGGGCTAGTCTCCTCTTTTCATCTTCTCCTTATTTGGTATTCAAGTAGTATCTCACTCTTCATTTTTACTATTACCAGTTGCTTCATTTGCTTTGTTTATCTTGCTATTTGGTTATCATTATTTTTCTTTCAATCCTGCTTTATTACTTCTTTTGAGCCGAGAGTCTATTCGAAACAACTTCTCTACCCCACAAAGGTAGGGATAAGGTCTGTGTACCTCTTACCCTCCCCAGACCCCACTTGTGGGGTTAAACTGCGTATGTTGTTGTTCGTAACAGAATGCAGAGCTCTTCTTGATCCTCTAAGGACCAAATAATTTGAGTCTGGATGAATTAATATATGTCTATGTATGCTTCCATGATATTTATTTCATGAGTTCAGGTCTCTTTTTTATGAGTAACGAGGTTGTTGCTCTGTGTAGGTCTGGGATAGACGTTGCTTTAGGGCCAAAGAAAAGCCAGCCGGAGTCCTGATGGGACACGTAGAAGGCGTTACGTTCCTTGATAGTCGGGGGGATGGTCGTTATTTCATTTCTAATAGTAAAGATCAGTCCATCAAGCTCTGGGATATCCGCAAAATGTCTTCTCATGCTGCTCGGTATGTTTATTTTCTGGCTATGCATCTCCTCTATGATTCTTCTTCGTGATGGTCTATGCCTATTATTTTTTGGTTTACTAATAAGATTAGGGGAGATATGAACCTAGTACAATACATGAGATTCAATGAGATTTATTTTTATTAATACATGAATCAGATTAAATTCACGAAAACCAATTTTTACATATCTTATGACCAACTAAGTTGCTCGGCCTCTTTGTTTTTGGTGCCGCACCAGTGTCGACACAACATGGGTGTGGGTGTGGATGTGGGATCCATACCGGATTTGGTCAACTGATTTTGGGTACTTTGACCGAAATCAACGGAGAAATTCGGGATAGATACAATGTTTTGGTTCTTATCTATTGTTTTTTGTACTTCCATTGCTTTTTTTTGGACTATTTTTCCTTGAGCCGATGGTTTATCGGAAACAGCCTCTCTACCTCCCAAGGTAGGGGTAAGGTCTGCATACACATTGCCCTTCCAAACCCCATTTGTGGGGATTACACTGGATATGTTGTTGTTTCACTTGCTTACTTATATGACTAAACAAGACACATACACTTCCTTGTTTTCAGCAATATCTGGTTCAGGAATTATGAGTGGGACTATAGATGGATGGACTACCCTGCTCAAGCTAGAGACGTGAAGCACCATTATGATCAGTCAATATCCACTTATAAGGGTCATTCTGTATTGCGTACTCTAATTCGCTGCTACTTCTCACCAGAATATAGGTTAGTGCTAGAAAATATGCTGCATTGACTCTCTGTTTTTTCCCTATGACAACTTCCAGTTACCCTTATTTTGGCGTAGTACGTATTTAAATATTTCTTGGGTTATATTTTACAGCACTGGGCAGAGATACATTTACACGGGATCCCATGATGCCTGCATTTACATCTATGATTTGGTAAGTATGAGGCTATACATCAACTTATTTATCTCTAAAAGGAATTTCTTACGAGATCACCCCTTTCATTCTGGGGTGACGGAGGGATTGTACAATTCGAGCCATTCTAGAATAGGATGATTTCCGGCCAATCCTTATACCTTTTTCTTGTCTAAATGATATCCTAGGATATTTAATGAAACTCGAGTGATTTTGTGGTTAGAAAGATTAGTTTAATGACTTTCTTGCAATTATACTATAAAGGATCATTTTGTATGTGCCTATGCGGGATGAGATAGACAAGGATATCCCACCTTCTATATGGGATAACTAATTCCATCATTTTATTGGGATAATATAATCCCAGGACTAATTAATACCTATAACTAAACACGGGAAAAATTTCTCCTGCATTTTATCTCGGGATTATTATCCTTACCCCCATACCAAATGACCCCTAAGGTTTTGTGTGACCCTAATTTCTGAAGAATTCTTCTTATCGATACGTGTTATGTAACGATGCTCTTGGTTTCTAGGTAAGTGGAGAGCAAGTCGCGAAATTGCAGCACCACCGGTCGACCATTAGAGATTGTAGCTGGCACCCTACTTATCCAATGCTTGTTAGCTCTTCTTGGGATGGAGATGTTGTCAAATGGGAATTCCCTGGAAATGGAGAAGCACCACTCCGTCCTAAAAGGAAGCAGATCCGAAGAAGGCATTTCTTTTAGATGCTATCTGCCCTCGGGGATTTCTCGGTTATCAAAGAAAAAACACGGTAATAACTTCACGGTGTTACACCAACATGTATAGTAACTGTGTGAACGCAAATTTTAGCTGAAACATGATAGATATTTTGATATACATGTATTGTACATAAATAAAGGCGAACATGTACATTGCATTTTGTAAATAGTACTCGGATCGTTTGGGGATCGTGTGATTCTGTATGTGTGGCTCGTACTGCAGGCTAAGCGGAAGAAAATGTAAGGTCGTGCATTAGCACTTCTGCAAGAAAAGGGATGTGCTAGGACGCAACAGCTTCTTGCATACAGATAAATTGAAGCTCAAATACAAGTATGAATTCATGTAGCTTAACTTGATGGTACCTTTTGTTCACATAGGCAAATTCAGGATTTTATTTGATGGTGTTAGTCTTTACGTTTTTTAGCATTGAATTTATCGTGCTTTGTTGAAAATTTAGGGAGTATTTGCACGTATATGTATGGTTCAAATTAAAAGTATTGTGTTCAGATGAATTCGACCCGTTGCCTAAGAGTTGAATCTACAAACTCTTATGTATGACTAAAAAAATTTTAAAGGTAAAAAAACATCAATTTTTTGAATATATGCATGTATCTTGAATTTTATTTGCTTAAATAATTCTTGTTCTATTTCCTTGACTAATTCATATTCTTATAAATTGAAAAAGAAATGTTAAAACGATTAAATACTTGTGATAAAAGAAAGTTGAAATATTCCTAAGATTTGTTATTACTGATTAGTCAATAACCATAGTAGATGTCGACTGATAAAAGAATTGAGAAAGTCAATGGAAAGAGAAGAAAATTGCACATATAATAAACTAAATTTAGATTCCATTTACTAGCATCTAATGTCATGGTAAGTACCCTTCGTTTTTAACTAGAGGTCTCGGGCTTGACTATTCGAGTCCTGCCTTTGATATTTTGAGCGTTTTACCCCATAAATGGAATTTCAAATCATGTTCAAAGTTGTAGCCGGATGGTAAGTATCCCTTCATTCTTAACTAAAGATCTTGAATTTGACAACGGAAAAAAGGAGTCGCCTTTAATATTAATTACTGTTTTACCCCTAAAAATAAGATTTTATTATGCAAATTTGGATTAGTCAACCCCAAAACGAACATGATGTGGAAAAGTAATAGTAGGTAAACATCTTCAAATCATGTACGGAGCGGGTGATAAGTTCCCTTCCATCTTTAACTAAAGATCTCGTATTCAAGCCCCGATATTTGATTGCTTTACCCCCAAAAAATAAGACTTTAGTACTCGAATCTGAATTAGTCAACCCCATAACATACTCAATACCAAATAGGAAACAAAAAAAAACAGGACATTAATGTAGAAGAGTAATAGTAGGTGAACAACTTCAAATCATATCTAGATCAGATGGTAAGTTCTCTTTCATCCTTAATTAAATGTATCAAGTTCGAGCCCTGAATACAAATTTAAATTAGTCAAACCTCTGTTTACTAAACGTATCAGGTTCGAGCCTTGATTACGAATTAGAATTAGTCAGACCCCGATAACGGATAGAAAACAAAAAAGGAAAAAAGTGGAGACATTAATGTAGAAAGAGTATTAGTTGGTGAACATATTCAAACCGTGTGGTGAACACCTTCAAAAAAATTTAATAGTTTATCAAGTGGCTTTTAAAAAATAAATATACAGATAGTTACTTATGGGACCAGAAATAAATTCATAGTTTGCATAGTTTTGACTTATATTTTTTATTTTTGAATTTATAGTTTGATTAAAAAGTATGAAAATTTTATGATGATGAATTGATGGAGGACAAAAAAGTTTATTCCTTAGCCCTTTTACTTGTGATTTTATTGATCACACTCATCGTTATCGCACGTATAACGTTGAAATATTCGGAGACATTTTTTCTTATTTTCGGAGCTGATATCGCGTTGATTATTGGTGTCTTTGCTGGTGTTTTGATCCGAAGGAAGTTCAACAACAGGAGGTTATTGCTAGAAAATCAGTTAGACTCTGATGGACGCGAGCTGAGGATCGAGTATAGTTTCCTAAGGAAAGTAGCTGGTGTTCCAACAAGATTTAAGCTGAAAGAGCTCGAAGAAGCAACCAATAACTTTGGATCGTTGGTAGGACGTGGATCATCAGCTTGTGTTTTCAAAGGTGTGCTTAGTGATGGTGCATCAGTAGCTGTTAAAAGGATAGATGGAGAGGAACGTGGCGATAAGGAATTCAAATCAGAAGTTGCAGCTATTGCTAGTGTTCAACATGTTAATCTTGTACGTTTACTTGGATATTGTAGTGTTCCTCCATCAGGACCTCGATTTTTGGTTTACGAGTATATAGTTAATGGATCACTTGATAATTGGATTTTTCGAAAAAGGGGAATTCGAGGGTGTTTGTCGTTGGATTTGAGGTGTAGAGTTGGTCTAGATGTGGCTAAGGCACTTTCTTATTTGCATCATGATTGTAGATCGTGTATTTTACATCTCGATGTCAAGCCTGAGAATATACTTTTAGATGAGAATCATCGTGCTATTCTAGCTGATTTCGGGTTGTCTAAGTTGATGGGGAAAGATGAGAGTAGAGTTGTTACAACAATTAGAGGTACTCGGGGGTATTTAGCCCCCGAGTGGCTCCTGGAGAACGGGATTTCTGAGAAAAGTGATGTTTATAGCTACGGAATGGTGCTATTGGAGATGATTGGAGGGAGGAGAAATATTACTTTAGCTGAAAATGGAAAGAGTACCAATTCAAAGAGTAAGTTCAGCTATTTTCCTAAGATTGTGAGTGAGAAATTGGAGCAGGGAAAGATCATGGAAGTCGTGGACGAGAGGCTCGTCCACGAGGCAGCTACAGGAGGTGTAGCTGTAGAAATGCAAGTGAAAAGATTGGCGTGTGTGGCGTTGTCTTGCATCCAAGAACGGCCTAGTCTTAGGCCAACAATGGCACGAGTCGTGGAAATGTTGGAAGGTCGTGGGCCAGTAGAAGCGCCTAGACAAACGACAATGTTAATCCTCGATCTATTAGACGAGGGTGTGGATCATCATCCCGGGATACCTAGGGTTACTGCAGCCATGGCAAGATCTAGTGATACTAATTCGCTTCGCTCTTATACAATGTCTATCCTCTCAGGGAGGTAGTACCTACATAATACATAAGGGATTTCGTCTGCTTTCTGTCAAATTTTTCAATATCAATAGGTTGATTGTTTCTCGAGTGTTGTATCCTGAATCTGAAAGAGTGTACTTGAATTCTCCCCCTAACAAAAAAAAGTGTAAGAATTTGCTTTTGTTATATAGGTATATATATCTTTTCTACAACTCTTTTTGGTTCTTTTATTTTTTATTGCTTTTTTGGGATGCATAATTGCATCTATGAGGATACAATATTCTTGTTTACTTTTCCCAATCGATATACATAGATTATTCATGGATTATACTAGTTAAAAAGAAAGACATGTTCAAATTAATTAGAGTTGACTAGACTAACACCCCCCACCCCATCCCCACACACGGTAAGGAAACTGGATGTGGACAAGATAATATAGGGACCCAACAACGGGTGAAACAACAATTTGGTAGGTCTAACACCATTATATTCTATTACACATTTAGTTTTACTCTCCAATATTAGAGACGGATTCATGATTTAAGTTTTATTAGTTCAACCTTTAAGATTCTTAGCATTGAACCCATTGTATTACTAAAGTTATTGTTTAGGCCTACTATTTCTTGTTACTTTAAGTGAATTTTACATATAAATTTATGTTTCGCCTCAAAAGTAATGAATTCAGATAAACCCGCCACTAAATAGTTGTATTCATTCCTACCAAGAGTGGTATTTTTTTTTTGACTTTTGCAACTAAAATTCCCGTTTGAATCTGGCATCCAAATGGGCATTGTCATCCATCATCTTCACTGTTACTCTGTCAAACATGACCTATTGAATTTAATGCATCAGATGGAGAGGCAAAAATATTTACGTCATGTAGTTCAATATACAATATGATACATTATGTATTAATCTGGTATAAAATATATAATAATATATAAAAGATATTTATACTATACATAAAGTATGAGTTACATGGCATAAGTATTTTCAAAATAGACATAAAACGAAATTTATCCTTATATTTATTTTTATTCGGATTAAATAAAAAAACCAAATCGAACCTATCTTTATGATTTCTAAGTATGATTTCGGATGTTGATATTCAAAAAATAGAAATATTATAAAAGAATTAACTAGCATGGAATAAATAACTACATTTTGTTTTGGCTGTACTAACAAGCGTGTATGTTTATTCTTATTGACTTGTTGTTTTATGTATTTATAAGAGATTATGAGTGTTCTGGTTTCTTATCAAATATTTATTATTATATGGTATTATTTCAGTCATTACTACTACTCATTCGTTTTCATCATTTGATTAAATGTATTATTTGATCTATATTTTATCTTCTTTATATAATGAAATTGAAAAAAAATGAATAAAATAAAAAATAAATCAATTGTTATTGGTATCAATCGGTCGATATGTCCGAGTGGTTAAGCAGGTAGACTTGAAATCTGTTGGGCTTCGCCCGCGCAGGTTTGAACCTTGATGTGGACGATTTTTTTTTCTTCCTATTTTTTGAGTTTTTAATAAAGTATTGCACCGTCAAAGAAGGGTATTTCCGCCATTGGATGCAACAATAGGTACAACAAATAGGCTAGTATGATTTAATTCGACCTTATATATATAGCTTGAGCTTAAAATGAAATGATTGCACTGTTGACTTCTAAATTCATCCGTCAATTTAAAGTGAGGTGTGGGGAGGGGATTGTGTATGTCGACGTTACCCTTATCTTGGGATATTGCACCGTCAAAGAAGGGTATTTCCGCCATTTGATGCAACAATAGGTAGAACAACTAGGCTAGTTGGATCCAACTCGACCTTTTATATATATATACATGATTGTATTGTTGACTTCTAGATGCATCTATCAATTAAAAGTGAGGTGTGGGGATGGGATTGTATATGTCAACGTTATCCTTATCTTGATAGGTAGAGAAACTGATTCCGCTATATAGCTCAAGCTTAAAGTGACATGATTGTATTGTTGACTTCTAGATGCATCGTCCAATAAAAGTGAGGTGTGGGGAGGGAATTGTGTATGTCGACGTTACCCTTATATTAGGAGGTAGAGAAACTGATTCTGATGTTCCCTTGACTTTAAGAAGATAACAAGAATAAAGAAATCAAAGGCTAAATACTATCAGCTGCAACAAATTTGTTCTACAATTACTTTATGAAGCTACTAACTTGCCCAACATCATCAAGGCAAGCTGCCTTTTTGGTAACCACATTGACGTCTAAAACCACATACTCGATAAGCAACCTTTTTGGCTTATGTGACATTTAAACATTTTTCATGCGCTTTAATTATGTGTAGTCACGGAACGTAAGTCAAAAAAGGTATAAAATTACAAGAAAAATGAGTCCGGGGATAATAAGACCTTAGTTTAGTTGAAGCGTGCCTCTGAAATTTCGGTCATAGTTTATGGAGACTTGTGCTTTATCCCCCTAAAAGAAAATATAATCCACAACAAAACAAAAACAAATATTGAAAGAAAAAAATATTGAGCCCACTTAATGAACGGTATTTTAAAAATAGGGAAAATTGTATATAATAGCAAACTATTAATTCAAATTAAATGCTATAAATATAGTTTGATTTAATTGTACCTCGTAGCAAATTGTTGCTATTTCGCCTCTCTCCTGGTGAATCTCGCTCGCCACTCTCGTTCTCTCCCTCGCCTCTCTCGCTTTTATACAAACACAAATGTATAAAATGCGTTTGTGTTTTTATAAAGTGAGAAAAAATTGTATATATACGTATATTTTCGTTCCCTCTCTCCCCTCTCCCAGATCTCGTTCACCACTCTCCCAGATCTCGCTCGCCAGTCTCTCCCTTACCTCTCTCGCTTATACAAACAGAAATGTATAAATTGCGTTTTTGTTTGTATAAAGCGAGAGAAAATTGTATATACACGTGCAAATACATATATCTTCGTCCTATACACTTATAACTATACAATACAAATATTCCCCTGCCCAGTTCTCTTTTTGCCTTTCTCTCTTTCTCGCTTTATACAAACACAAATTATACAATTAATCTTTTGTATATGTATACCGAAACAGAACAAATTATATACAATTGCTTTCTTTTGTCTATGTATAGTGAAATATACATATTTATGTTTGCTATGGAGCACATTTATGCAAACTATAACTATAACATACAAATATGATTTTTGTGTTTGCTATAGGTGAAAGTTGCTCTTTTATTTATCTAACATTTTATATTCGATTAGAACAATAATGAAGTATATCGGTATTAACTAAACATTATAATTTATGAATCTGGTGATGACATATGTAATGATTTCACACCTTTAAAATATCAAAATATACGTTGATATATATCGTCCCTCATCTTGTTGCTTCTTAATTTACAAAGTAAAAAACAAAATGATTCACAAATAAATAAACAAAATGATCACTTTTAAACATTTATAATATACTTTTAACACATATTACAAAGAACAATTTATTATTCACACATAATACAAGTTTTATTGATGAATAATACATTTATCACACATTTTAATATACTTATAATACAATGTGTCAACTTCTTACCAAATATGCATAATATATTTTTAAAAACAGTTATAATACATATATATTGCATACTTAATTCACTTTTAATACATATTGCAAATTTAACATCGTAGTGTTGTAAATGGTAATAAATAAAAAATATTGCTAAAATTGATAATTATTTATTAAAAGACACCCAAGTAATTTTTCCATTTTAAAATATGTTAACGGATTTGAATTGAACCAATTTAAATTATCAACCCAACCCATAAAATTTTGGGCGGTTGGACGAGTTTAGTCCATGACCATTATAAAAGGGGAATTAAAATATGATCGGGCAGGTAAATGAAATTTTGCATCGGAAGCAGCTTCTCGTAATCGTAAAGTCTTTTCCTCCGCTTTTCAGATTTACCAATCCGAATGAGTATGTTTACTCATCAAATTTTATTAAGTTTTTCTTGATTAAATTCTTCCCGTAATTTTGTTGGAATTGTAAAATTCTTACTCAGATTTTATCAGTACTAAAAGAAGAATTCAAAGTAGACATTAGTGATGAACTCGATTGGCATGAATGGGTTGAATTGAAAAAAATGGAGATTGATTTGGAGATAAGGAATCTATGGTATATAAATTTTCCTTCTTTTATCTTTTGGTAGTTTTTTCCATTTTATTTTCTGATTTTTTACAGGGCAAAAGATGTTGATGGCCTAAACAACAAAGGCAAGAAAGTCTTGGAAGGAGAGGTATCTGAGAATGCAAAAGTAGATGGAGAAGGAGATGGCAGAAAAGACATTAGATTCATCATGAAAGGAAAAGGGAAACAGGTTATGAATGATCCGAAGATGATAAAAGGATTCCAACATTGTCCCTTCAACATGTATGACTTCTCTTTGGATGATTTATTAAGTCTAACATTACTTAATTTTCTATTTATTTCGAAGGCTGATAGTTTTTTATTTTATTTAGGGTGCAGCTATGGAATATGCTTGGTCCAACACTTCAATGTATCCAATTGAGAAGGAAAAGGAGAAGGTATATCTGAAATGTTTAGTAAATAATAGCTAATTTTGGGTCTAATAATTTATTTTTGTATTGAAGGATGAGTTATTTGAGGCAAAAGCTCATCTTGAACACAAAATTGCAAAAAAAGAGGCTAAGCTCGAGCATATTGAGTTGAGAATTGCCAAATCCGAGGCACATCGTCAGCGGATCAAGAATCGTATTGCTAAGCTGAAGCAATGTCACACAGATTTAGAATGACATTTTTTTCAAGTAGTCATTTGTAGCTGGACTGTAGCATGGTTTTAAATATAGTTTCAGTATAGTAGTAGTTCCATTTGGTGATAAATTGGTTGTTTTCTTCTGTTGATGATTTGATACCTAGTTTTCTGAGGGGTATCGTACTGCATGTCAGTTTTTTGAAAAGTGGGAGCTGTAAATACAAGGCCTTTGCGGATTGTTTCAAGTAACCTTTTACTTTCTTGTTTTGTGTGTTGATTAAAATGATAGGGTGTTGAGGCTACTGTTTCTGCATGTGGGCAATTATGCTAGTTAGTCTCTGAAGGG